TGGATTTCATCCAATTTTTTTTTAACATTTCCAAAAATCACACTTTTTAGGTTTCAAAATTATAAATATTGTGCACATTTCACATTGTTAGCACACTAAAATAATCATTTTAATATCTCTAGCGAAGGAAAATATCTGCAATATTTAACATCGGTGACTATGGTTTTCGGGCATTTTTTACGCTAGATTTCACATTCTAAAAAATTTCTGCAATCGCTATATGATGTGAATCATAAGGAATGCGTGTTTATAATCATACCTTGTCCTCAGTATTGCGTGCATTTCCAGTTGTCTATTAGTCTGCAATTTGTTTATATATACATTTTAAAGCTTTACTTTTGACAGACTTTTATTGAATTTTTAAATTTTTATAATACTGTATGTTCCTGGTTCATCCCCTGAGGTGTAGGGTGCGGCTAACTACATGTATTGTAGGAGAAGAATCATAGAGTTTCAGGATTTCTGGTGCCCTTCAACACGACGATCCCAAGCGAACCTCGACACTTTGGTCATCAAAACTAAAGCTAGAAATAGACTCAATAGAAAACAACAAAGCCTTCCTACGGAGCATCTTATTTGATTGGTATATTATCATATGAGTGATTATTATGAATGAAAAATCAATAAAATTATAAATTTACAATATTATGAGAATAATGTTCAGTCTGTAGCTTTTAAATACTCGAGAAGGCACAATTCTTAACGATTTGGACGAAACTTTGTGAAATTGTTTATTATTAGCCACGAGCCCTATTAAAATGAAAACAAATCTAAGAAATATTTGATATGAGTTATTACTCTTATTCTTGGAAACGCGTTCAATTTATAGCTTGTAAACAGTATAGAATGCACATTTCTTAACTGATTTTGATGAAACTTATGAACAAACGATGAACCCTCTCAGAATATAACTTGTTCTTTAGCTAGTAAACATTGTAGAAGGAACAATTATTGATAAATTAAGATAAAGTTAGATAAAACCTAATCAAGTAGGAACCTCATTAAAAGTGTTGTAAAATGTCTTAGACTCGACCGACTCATTCTTTTGAGTTAACCGGATTGTTTGTTTCCATACGTCAGAAAAAATACAGATATTGATAGTGTTTGACTGTAGTATATAGTCTATGTTAGTAATAATACAGATATCGATAGTGTCTGACTATAGTATCCATTATGTAGTATAGGTCAGTAATGATAGAGATATTGATTGTGTTTGACTGTAGTATGTTGTTTTGGTTAGTAATGATAGAGATATTGATGTTGTTTGACTGTAGTGTGTGGTCTGTAATAGAGGTTAGTAATGATACAGATATTGATAGTGTTTGATTATAGTACAGATATTGATAGTGTATGACTGTAGTATGTAGTCTATGTCAGTAATAAGACAGATATTGATAGTGTTTGACTGTAGTATGTAAGTAATGATACAGACAATGATAGAGTTTGACCTAGATTACATACTACAGTCGAACACTATCAATATCTGTATCATTACTGACCTCGACTGGTTACTAGAGTAAAAAAGTATCAATATCTGGATCATTACTAAACTATACTACATACTACAGCCAAACACTATCAATATCTGTATTATTACTGATCTCTACTACATACTACAGTCAAACACTATCAATATTTGTATCATTACTAACCTCTACTACATACTACAGTCAAACAGAATCAACATCTGTATCATTACTAACCTTTACTACAAAGTACAATTAAACAGTATCAATATCGGTATCATAACTAACCTCTACTACACACTACAGTCAAACAGTATCAATATCTGTATTACCACAAACCTAGACTACATACTGCAGTCAAACACAATCAATATCTCTATCATTACTGACCTATACTACATAATGCATACTATAGTCAGACACTATCGATATCTGTATTATTACTAACATAGACTATATACTACAGTCAAACACTATCAATATCTGTCTTATTACTGACCTAGACTACATACTACAGTCAAACAGTATCAATATCTGTAGTAATACATGTACAGTCAAACAGTAGCAATATCTGTATCATTACTAAACTATACTACATACTACAGTCAAACACTATCAATATCTGTTCCATTACTAAACTATACTACATACTACAGTCAAACAGTATCAATGTATGTATCATTACTGACCTCGACTACATACTACAGTCAAACACTATCAATATCTGCATCATTACTGACCCCCTTTTTGGCTTTTCGTGGGCACTACCCTCTAAATACGCCACTGTAATTACTTGTGAAAACGTAGTAATATTAGGACACAAATTGCACAAAATGCAGTAATTTGGGAAGATTAGTCCTGAATTGATTTTGAATAGATATACTTGTAATAAGCCTGCTTTCCAATTCATTAACAAGGTTAAAAGTAAATTTTGACTAATTTGTAATTAAAATCTATTGCCGAAAGAACAAATGAATGTACACCAAATTTCATATAACGCGGAACTTTTTAGATAGGTCTGAATTGAGAAGTGTTCAGCCTTGAACCGTGAACTCTTCACAATCGGCCTTGACAAACACGACATTTTTTTTTCAAAAGGGGAATTTTTGATGAACATAATGAGTATATGATTGCGAAATGGTTACTTTGAATATTTAGGTAGTTTTAAGCAATTTTTCAAAAAAGGAATATCAAATCATGATTAATTTTATTTACCACGCCGTAAATAGCTATATGAGTACTTATGGCTATTTACCACGCTTACCACGCCAGTGGTAAATAGTCACTGCCTATATTAAATATTCAGAAATCAAATTATTTTAATACTATTTAAAACATAATTTTTGAATCATATATCAACATTATCATTTCCACGGTTTTACACATCGAATTTCCTGCTCTCTCGGTGTACAGTTCAATAATTTCAAATCTTTCATCGGTACGATTTATTTCATTGCCAGGCATTTAATTTTCATTTTGAAATTGAGACAGGTGCATTAGAGCTCTATCGCATGGGTATTTTAATCCGATTGTATCCGTTTAACACATACGAAAGGAAAATGGCTTGAAGGGAGAGATAACATCAATTTTGGAGGAATCTTATTAATGATTCAAGCAACAAACTCAACAGAGTTGAGTGGACTGAAGGAGAAAATCAGTTTCAATGGAAGAAGTATGCACCAGGTAAGCAGCCTATATGGAGGACTAGGGTGAGTTGGGTACGTAGAGTACAGGAGCGGAAGAGAAGTACTGGACATTCAAATGGATGGAGAGTGGGTTTACAAGAGAGCTGCAGAAGGGGCCTATGGGGTCTTCTCTTTCATTGAGAAGTACTCATTGTAACCCCGTGCCATGCTTCGAACGACAGTATTCCGAAGACTTATTATTATGGGTTTTCGATGTGGATATATTTTACTACAGTCTTACAGTATCGATTAAAATTGCATTTGAATAGATATTTTACAAGTAGTCTCACTGGTCAAACGAAATTGAAGAAAATTACTAACGCATATAAAACGTTAATATTTTAATGAAAAATTTGCAGTTTATAAAAATTCAACATGTTCCAGTTGAAGACTTCAGATCGATCTCTGAGATGACGTCTAACATTATATTATGTGATAACCATTTTGTAAGATAAATTCTAAACGATCCATAGCTCTTCTAAGAGATTGCCGAATGTTGTCTAATGATACTGGATTTGGCAAACATTCTCCTGAAAAAAAAATACAATTTAATTTGATTCGCAGAATACATGATACATTTTGATCTTGACAACTCACACAAAATCCCATTTCTTTTAAACGCTGAAATTGAACCCTGCTGTTTACCAATATTGTGTCGTGTGTTATATAATATAACTCTGTATACCTAATATCTCAACAACATTGTACTGTGTTGTATATATAACACTGTATACATACTATATCTCAATAAAATTATGTCGTGTTGTATATGTAACTCTATAAACCTATCATATCGTAACAACATTATGCCTAGTTATATATAGTGCTGTATATATCTCAACAACATTGTGCCGTGTTGTATAATATATAACTCTGTTTTATATACATGTATACTCTTTTCTGTACAGTGGGTAGAGGTGTGTGCCACTCAGTATGGCTAGATACTCTCCTATAGAAGCACTGGCCTAGGTCACAAGTAGAGACTATGGATTTCAACATGAAAACTATTTCAATTCAAACAGAATATGTTTTACTGAAGATCATAGATTATTACTTCTGGAGAGATTACAAGAAAAAATATATTCAACTCAAATTCCATTGCAATTGTTTCAGGGAGTTGATGAAAGGGGTTCTAATCTACCATGAACTAATACATTACTAAAGTTTTTATTTCTTTTATATGCAGTGACCAAACGTTTAGTATAAACATTTGGAAAGTCATCTTGGAGCTCATTATAAAAGCGTTTGACAACGACAGAGGCATTTTTAGCTGTAGTATTGTAGGTTGCAATGAAGGGTATGATTTAGTTGTCATATTGGATATTTAGCCTGTTAGGTATGACTGTTTGTAGTTGGTCTACTATAATTTGTAGAGCTTGGGTCAGTATGGTATAATTTGTAGACCGTTGCGTTAGTATTATGCAATAATTTGTAGACCATAGCGTCAGTATGCTATAATTTGTACACCATTGCATTACTATGGTATAATTAGTAGACCATTGCGTCAGTATGGTATATTTTGTAGATCATTGCGTCAGTATGCTATAATATACACGAAGACCATATAATTCCATGCTAACTTGTCATAAAAACGTCAGTTTGAAAAAAAAATAGGGACATCGTCATTGATTGGTAACCCACTTTCTCATCTACAACCTTCGAACTCTTTAATTTCCAAACAAACAAAAAAATTACTTTATGGAAAAGCGTGGGCTAACGGGCCATCCGTAATAACAATTACATGTATTATTTTTTTTTATAATATTTATAGCAATTAATCCACAATAGTAAATGTCATTAATCACAATAATCACATGACAGATCATTACAATAAAACAACGAATGTTTATTAATCACGGTGATGCTTTGTTCTTGCAGATTTTGATGGGGCAAGATTTCCAGACCGGAATAATGCTTGGAAGTAAAAAGCTAAACCAAGAAGACAAAATGCCGTAACTACGATGATATATTCAATATGATTGGGATATTCAGTCCCACAGATTGTATACCATTCTACACCATTTTTAGGTTTATCTTTCATACAATTGAAATCAAAAACGTCTTCTTTATAATCACCAATACATAAATTCTTCCTTTTAGATAAAACCTGAAAAATAACATAACATAAAGATGTTATACGTACACATTAAAATGAGAACGTATATTGCCTCAGTGGAGTTTCTATTAGGTGGAAGGACCAGTAATACTAAATAGACTAACTTGATTTACCAAATGGTCGCCTCATTGTATTCAAAATCGACCATTTTATCATAAATAAGGATATTTAGCGCTCTGATTTGCACTTAATACCATACAACTCTTCCATTCTGTTAAAACTAAGCAATTTAAGCCGTAGTAAAGCGTTTTATAAGGCAACGCTGCAGCAAAATGTGAATGAATAGGAAATTTTTATTAAAAAATGCCACCATATTGTAAGGGGAGATAACATATATCATTATATTATCTATTTCTGGAATTGCAGAAACAACAGGCATCGGACGAAGAATTGGATTTTTTTAATTACTCAGTGGTTTGACAGCGTAAAAATAACTACGCTATTCTAGCCAATCAAAATCAAACTTTAGACAGAATTATCTGTTCTTGCCAATTTACATGGTAAGTCTTTCATGGCCGAGTCAACTAACGAACATTGGCGAATTTTGAGCCGAATGCACCAATTTCTGTCGTGAAAGGTAATCCTATTTCTTAAATGCTACAGAAAGTTTGTGTCAACTAATTGCCTGACAGCCATCTTTGATGTAGGTTTTGAATAAAATGATTGGCAATATAAAACCTCGAAACCACTTACCTGACCAAAGGGCGTCTGGACATTAACGGTTTCCTGGCAGGTTCCTACACCTTGATGATATCCAACAGCCTTTATGGTCTCGGGTCGTTCAGTAACTACCAGATATATATAGAATACATAGTGGATAATAACTATTGATGTGATCTCAAATATACTTCCAACTATAATAATATAAAAAATACAAATACAATGCGAAATAAAAATTAAAACAACATCAAATTTTTAAGTACTGGAATAGAATATTGTTAGCAATTTGCAATGGTTAGTTACTGAAAACGAAGTGATTATACATTATGCATTTCGACAATGCAACCAAAACTTTCTACCGGAAGTAACCACACGTTAAATTGCCTTACCTGCTATTCATTGCTGGTGTCAAATTATTTTATATATCGCAATTGAAAAGTCAATGGTGCATCTTTCAAATAAGTGTTAATGACATTTAGCTTATTCGCAGTTTTATAAGAATAAAAATCGCCTCTATATTTCTGACTATAGTCTAATAGACACATCGAGTGCATATTTTATTAAAAACTCAATTTAAAGCTGAGAAGACGGTTTTAACCTGTTTGCTATGCGCTAGTTTTACCATATTACCATCATATACACGTGCATATTTGACCTACTTACTTGGATTAGCACTATTTCGGGCATTAAGATACGGAACTCTATCTGATAACCAAACTATCACTGCATATGTTACCAACAATAACAGTACGCAGACCTCTGTGTGAATTTTAAGCGAATCGTGTAAGGGATGATAAATTGGAACAAACTGTAAGACACCAAGCGGCATCGCAAATAATCCAGTTATCATAGCACACACCAACTCAGAAAAAAACCTAAAAATATGAAGAAAGATAGCTTGCGATTCAAGGTAACATACTCCCACTGGCAGCTGTCAGAAATAATAAAACAGTCTTTAGTGACTAAAGTACGATTTTTCTCATATTGAAGAAATTATTGCTGAATAATTCCACAAAATTTTTTAAAATCAATATCAATAACCCAAATACAACAAACAATTAACAGCTCTAATCAAGGGCAAAAAACAACTTTTGACGCGTGTTTACAAAGTCAAGGGCAATAACTCAAAAAATGTTCATCAAAAATATCTCTTGTTAGAACTTGTCCGAGATCTTATCAATTTCAATGAACACAAAGTTTCATCAGAATCGGTTGAAAACTGTAGCTTCTATTGTGCTCACAAACAAATTTTGACGCGTTTTTACAAAGTCAAGGGCAATAACTCAAAAACCGTTCATCAAAAATGCGTCAAGTTAGAACTTGTCCGAGATCTTATCAATTCCAATGATCACACCAAGTTTCATCAGAATCGGTTGAAAACTGTAGCTTCAATCCTGCTCACAAACTATTTTTAACAAATTTTGACGTGTTTTTACAAAGTCAAGGGCAATAACTCAAAATCCGTTCATCGAAAATGCGTCAAGTTAGAACTTTTCCGAGATCTTATCAATTCCAATGATCACACCAAGTTTCATCAGAATCTTGTAGCTTCAATCCTGCTCACGAACAAATTTTAACAAATTTCAAGGCGTTCTAAGTCAAGGGCAATATCTCAAAAACCGTTCATCGAAAATACGTCAAATTCGAACTTGACCGAGATGTTATCAATCTAAAGCATCACACCAAGTTTTATCAAAATCAGATGAAAACTGTAGTCTCTATAGTGCTCACAAGAAATGTTGACGGACGGACGGACGGACAGGGGCGACGACAATATACGACCACAATCATATTCATGTGGGCGTATAAAAATGGGGTTGAGTCCCTTTGACCAAGTCGGCACTGCAATACAGTCAAAGGGTATCCCTTCTTAGTTAAACCCCATATGTATAACGTATGCCATAATGTGTGTAGGGCCAGATTTATCGGGCTAGTATGCACCCTGTCCGAGGTCTGATATATTCAATGTAGATATTGGTTTATCTATAATGGTTTAATCTTACCCGGCAGACTGGAATTTTCCGACTTTACTACATAACAAACCTCTAACACCATGGAATATTATTGCGAAAGCTGACGCAAAAGTAGCATGGAAGTAGTAGCTGGTCCAGGGAACTTGATAATGCCGATCAAATATATTAGGATCATCATCATGCCATGTCCACCATAATAACTTTATTCCCATTATATCATACGGTACATCTAATAACACTACAGCTAGACCAACTAAAATAGTACCCAGGTGAAATTTTAAAACAATCTATTCATGCCATTTACCTGCTGGTAAAAGTTTCCAGACAATTGATTCCTGACAGTTTGGTATGTTTTTCGCAGATTCCACTAAGCTAATGAAATCTATCATTAATTTTGCTTTTAGACCATCTCATGTAATGTTCGTTGAATCAGGTGGTAGCCGTATTTTGATAATAAAAAATTGACCGTTGTATCAAGTTTGCGATTTTACTGTTTGATTTTTCTCCAGTCAGTAAGATACGTATGAAGTACAAATACAAACCAGCAAACGGCTCTGCCCACCATCTTAGTTTCATCAGAGATACAGCAATAGAGGTCGTATATATAAAAACAGGGTCTAAACAAGACAAAAATAAAGATAGGTTAAAGATAATAAAAAAAACACAGAATGATTGTATGATTTGGCTTTTGTTCGAATACGTTTTATTTTTTTTTTTTTTGAAGGCTTCTAATGAATTGGGAGCCATGGTGAGTTAGACGCTTGCTCAATAACCTGAGGATAATACCTGATTTTTCAACCCGGTCTTCCCTTATCTGTCATGCAGGTTGGAGGGGCTGACATAAAACAGATAGCTTGCCAGTCAAGGTAACATAAGCCCACTAAATTTAATGCGTTTTAACTAAGTCAAGGGATATAACTCTGAAACAGTTCATCCGATTATTACCAATTTCAAACTTGGCCGAGATCTCATCAATATATATGTGCATACCAAGTTTCATCAAGATCAGATAAAAACTGTAGCCTCTATCGTGCATACAACAAATGTGGACGGACGGACGGGGGCGACGGCAATATAAGTCCACATTTCCATGTGGGCGTATAAAAACTGTAGTCTTTATTGTTCCTACAAGCCAAATTTGGCGTGTTCTTACTAAGTTAATGGCAATAACTCTGAAACCGGTCATCCAATTAATACCAATTACGAACTTGACTGAGATTTCATAACCATGTTTCATCAAGATCGGATAAAAACTGTAGCCTCTACAAGAAATGTGAACGGACGGACCGACGGACGGGCGGACCGACAAGGGCGACGGCAATATACGTCCACATTTCCATGTGGGCGTATAAAAAACGTTTAGTCGTTCGGATGGAACAAGGACTAGACATGGGGTAAGGCCGTGTTTGCTACAGACTGTGCACGTTAAAGATCCATCGACATAATTATGGACTTTGAAAGAATAAGCTAAGACGCTGTTGGCGCCGTCCATCTTCATAATAGCTCAATCAGGTAAAGTACCACTTCATTTATTTCATTTTATTTCTAATCAGTTATTTATTTCTCGAGCAAATTAGGCTCAGGGTGTAAGTAATTTTCCCCAAACTGGCTGATTGTTTGCATACAAGTTATGTACTTACAAAGTAGAATAATATGTAATGGTAATCTCTGTCCTAATAAAATAACCATAGTTTGAGCATGCCAGAAATTATCAATATCAGGTAGGAAATAGCTGACACATTCTACTGTTAAACCATGTAGTAACGCTGCTAACCACAACCACTTATATCGACCACCGTGCCGCAATGCTAAAAATGAAAAATAAAATTCCCATCAATTTTCAAATAATTGGGTGGTCATTAGATCGAGCGATTTTCATTTAAGAAGATCAGCTTGACATCGACAAGTGATTGATTACTCAGGGTTGTAGATGCGACCTTAAGAAGTTCAAGACGAAGGAAAAAAACGATGGTCGATGATTTGTCTCCAATTTACGCTCTATAGGCTTAGCTTGTCTGTTACAGAATTCTGAATTTATAATCAGCAGTGGTCGCTGCCAATTCCACTGAAGATAATTTATGTACACTGATGATAATTACAAAAAAACTTACCATGTACCAAAGTGAGGAATGCTAATACATAGAAAGCAACTTCACAATATAGAATACTGGCATGGTTCTTCAGTATATCAGAAGGATGCCGAAATTTAATCCACCATTCTTGTAGTTTCTTGAATAATGAAACAGATTCAATATTGTATCACAAGTATTTACTTTGTGATAGGCGTCTGTGCATTTATACGGACTATCATCAATACATAACCCATTCGTAGAAATAGTGATAAATTACTGGAACCGATCCAGTCTATTTATCATTCTTTCATTTTTCGATATGAAGGTTTGATGGTTCTAGCTATATCTACTTTGGTCATTTGAAACGTTGTGATACCGGAAGATATCTATAACAATCTTACTCAAAGCCGGCGGTCAGTTTGTTTTTCAAGAGAGGTTGATATTAAATCCAACCATACCAAAATAATGAGATGTGGGGTGAAAAGTTGCTCTATCTAACTTGAAACAATTCCTCATTAGAGCAAATAATTTGGATTAAATTTTATTTCTTCAAAACCATTGTTTCATCCCAGGCGGCAATCCGCTGGTTATCCTGTAAACTACAGTACGCAGGCTTAGTGTAAAATAAAATAAAAAAACATTTCGAAACCTATCGACTCTTTAAGGCTCTATAATTGTTGGTTTGCTACAAAATGGGCACGATATATTGATTCTCAAACCTATCTCCCACTCTCAACCCCCACCCACCCAATCTTATTCAATTCAGTTTACTTGTTTCTTTCATGCAAATAAGATTGGTTCCTCGTACACGTCGGAGGATAAGAGTTTAAATCACGACAAAAAATGGTATACCAATTATTTATTCTAATTTATATTCGGGTGGTCGAGCGACAAAGTGACATAAAGTATTCATTAAAAGCCGTTGATTTCGCCAGGTTTCGGACTAACTTTTAAAATCACCACTGCTTTATCAAGCCGATACTGTCTTGATAATCATGTCTATACAAATACTATTTAGATTTATTCATTACCGGTACTTCAACAGTGTTAACATACAAACCTTGTCTGAAAGAATGTTATGTTCATACTCCTGTATTTGTTCCATTTTAAATTCAATAAAGATACGCCCAATCCAGAATCAACGAAAATATTGAATAATTCAACAATTTAATAGTGGTCTATTTTCCATATAAAATGAACTTTGACATTTGCTTGGATTATCCAGACCCATTATATTTTGTTTGATAAACTTCACAAATATTTTCGCATAAGGCGTACATCAAATTTTGAAACGAGTAGATTTTCACTCGATAAAAAGTCTTTTTAGAATCAAATTATAGAAACAAAAAAAGCTTTGTAGGGTAGTAGTGTGACATATTTTTTTAATGATTCAAATACGAAAACTCGGCTGGTTAGAAAAACGTGTCATTTTATCATTCGTCGTTGCAATGGCGGACAGTGCCAGCGAGTTGGAGAGCGATACCAGCTCAATAGATGGGGGTCCTACGCTTAAACCCCCTTCTCCTGCTGCTCTGGAACAGTTGCAAAAAAGAATTGAATCACTGCAGCAGGAGAATCGAGTATTGAAAATGGAATTGGAAACCTACAAAATGAAATGCAAATCTTTACAAGAGGAGAATCGTGATCTGCGAAAAGCAAGTGTCACAATAGTAAGTGTTGTTTATTTTAATTTTCCTTTAAACTTTTGGGTCATAAGGGCACCAAATATGGTATTTTTATGTTTTGTTTTAATTGATGGATAGATAGTTATAATATTACATCTTATATTGCTAACTGTCGTGGATAAATTGCCACCTGATCTCTGCTGATTTCATCTTAGGAGCCCAGATGGTGATTTTTAATTTTATTTGCACACCTTCTCTTCTTCAATTAGCCTTAAAGTTTACTGTGTATGCAATTTTTTATTTCCTTTTTAAATTTGTTTGGTTATGGTTGGATCAAGAAGTTTTCAATCAGATTAAAAATGAGTGGAAATATTTGCCTAAGAAGATAAAAGGTCTTAGTGAATGAGTCAAGTTTTATTTATATATACGATTCATGATTCATTTCATTGACTAAGATATTTGTCAATAGAATTGTACCATTATCATTGAAAACATTCTTTCACAATGAAATTATTACAAGTTCAATCCATCTCTCATTCACACATAGTTCTAATGTTTAAACTAGGGTTTCGGTATCTATTGTTATGGTTGTTAGACAAAATATGATCCCACTTTTTCTAAGATTTATTCATAAATTATATAATAAAGACAGCAGAGCTTATGAATATGATACATCAAGTTGGTCAGTATGTAATGTTCTATGCATTGAAACCTAAAAGCATCTATTTGTAATCTGCTCTGTATGGTAAATAGCCCATCAAATAATTAAATACAAATATTCATAAAAATAAAATAAGAATTGTGAGAAAGGTGAAAAGAACAATCAAAGATTAATATCGTCATAATCAAGTTAATTTACTCTTAGAAAGCTGGAAATAGGGTTAGCCTGAAGAAATTACAGAATTCAGTTTGAAATATCTTTAAAGCGGAAGTATGTACCAGCTTCAAAATAATTTCCATGGAGCTAAATCTACCTCTGTCTTTCCAAGAAACCTTTTCATTTATCTGTTTCACCACTGGTTTATTGCGTGATTGTAGCATTGAAACATGAATTTAGCCCACAGTTTAGGGGCTATTGGGAGATAATTCTAAGTTCAACCAATATACACTTTATTATCATGTTTAAAAAGATATTTTCAAAGTATTTTTTCTCAGGTATACAAAAAATCTGCATATATTACCAGAATATTCTGATATTATGTATTGAGTGCTTGAAATTTGCTTGAAATTTATCAATTTCTGTCAACATCTTAAAATCATACTTTATTTTTCCATTCCATTGATAATAAGCAAGTCAGAAACTGGTTCTCTTCTATTCTGTACTTCCATTTCTGAAAAAACAATGTTGTTTTATTAGTGATGGAAAAGGATCGAATACAAAAGGGACTTGTGATGTTCTCGGTGAATTGGGCAAACAACGTTGTAAATGATAACTATGAATATAGTAAACCCTTCAGATTATATCGTTGACTGGCCATAGACTGCCAAAGTAAATTAAGGGTTGTTTCTCCTGAGCTGGAAGTAGGAAACAAGCATGTTGTGCATGTATAGTTCTGAACTGACTTTTAGAGGGAATAATTCTTTATTTATTATCTTGGACATAACTTTAAAAAAAAAAAGGGCATCAAATGAAATTCAATTGTCAAAAGTAAGCTTGATTGTAGCCTAATGATGAAATAAGAATGAATGAAAACTGTATGCTACTCTTTCATCATACCATGTCCTTTGATATAAATAGTGTATTCTTAATGAATTTAATCAGTAGTGAGATCTTAATGGCTTAATTTTCTTACATAATCTTCATGTGTAATAAATAATTTGTTATGTCTACTTATAATTCATTATGTCAATTAGCCTATAATATCTGATTTACAGTACAGTTTTGTCATCCTAAACCATACTGATATGAAATTTTCTGTTTGTGGCAAAAAAAAAACCCTTTTAACCTGATGTAAGATAATCTATTACTTATATGCCAACATTATGTACAATGAAATAGAAGACTCATAATGTTTTATTGGTTCAAATTTCTTCATCCAAATAATCTTGACACCCTACAACACTATACATGGTTAAACTGTCAAAAAATATTAATTTATTAATAGTTCGTCCATTTTATCTCATTTCAGCAAGCTAAAGCTGAACAGGAAGAAGAATTTATCAGTAATACTTTGTTAAAGAAGATAAATTCATTAAAGAAAGAAAAAGAAACATTGGCCATGAATTATGAACAGGAAGAAGAATATTTAACTAATGATTTATCAAGAAAACTAATGCAGGTAGGCTTGTGAGCAGTGAGATTGGGATTCAGGAGTTGTTTTTATCATGACTGTCTTTACTAGGCTGGTAAATAGAATTTCATGGAATGAATTCCCTCTTCTGACCTGTAAAAATTGAGTTATGTGATTCCTCCAGACTATCAGTTTTTATTAGTGTTGAATTGTACGAACCGGGTAATCGTCGGCAATAACCGTTTGTTACCCAGTTAATTACTAAAGATTATAAAAGGAGTTAAAAACCACATTTGCGCCGGTAACTCACCGTTAACTGTAACGGTAAGAGTAAGTGTAAATGAGTACCTAGGAAGATTTTGGGTAGTTTCCCGCGAATTGTCGGTACAAATCGACAGATACCAAACAACCCATTGAAGCTTCTGCTTCAATGTAAGATTATGAGCGGGCCTGACAGAGTTCAGATGGACTGGCGCATTGTCACCCATTGCTACAGTCTCTAACAGATCAAAGGTTTTTCTACCAGTTGTGGGGTCAGTGTAATGAGTGTATCTCATTGAAGTCGCTGTGAATCAGTGTACTGGTTCCACAACTGGTATAAAACTATTGTCTCAATGAATCTGTACTCGTGAATATTAATAAGTTTGAAGCTGATTGACAGGCAAGAAGAAACAAACATCCAATTAGAGGAGAGTTAATAAAAAGTAATACGACCGTTATAACTGTTTTGTTCTAAGCAACTCGTACCCGATTGAAATAATAAAAATAATAACAAAACTTATGAAAACACTAGAACATGCTTAAAAAACATTGTGTTACATTTCCGCAATACAATAAAAATAACTAGAACTGTTCTAATAACAGTACTGATGCAGGGCGGTTACGACATTCAGGCACATACGAAGATGGTCTATTGCAATTACTTTATGTAAATACCTTTCTGCATCTCTAAATGCAAATATCCAAAAGTGCCTGGAGTTTAAAGTATATTTACTAGGAATAAAAGAATATTTGTCAATTAATAAAGAATAAGTTTGATGAAATCCGGATAAGAAATAAGACAGTTGGTAATTTGCATGCGCTCAACAAAAATTCAATATTTCCATCAAATTTAGAATTGAATTAAACACATACATACCAAGTTTGGTGAAATTCCGATAAAAAATAAGGAAGTCGGTAAAGCGCATGCGCACAACAAAAATTCAATATTTCCATCAAATTTAGAATTGGATTATTCACATACATACCAAGTTTTATGAAAATCGGAAAAGTAAATAAGAAAGTTGACAATG